ATTGCCTACTTAGCCAAAGTCAGAGAGGCTCTGCTCAACTTCCAGTCTCATTTCATCAAGCAAATGTATATAGAGAACTTGCCTCGGCCTAGCATTCTCGGGAGGGCAGAGGAGGTCACTCCTATCGTTCAAGCAGAGCCGAGCTGGATTGATCCACTCGCGAGCTTCCTGCTACACGTGACCCTCCCTGCAGATCGCAATGCCACTAGAAGGGTAGAGCGTCAGGCAGCCAAATACGTCATAATAGACGAACGGCTGTACCGAAGATCTTACACACTCCCCTATCTGTGCTGCTTGCGACCTTCCGAGGCCGAGCTCATGCTCCGCGACACTCATGAGGGCCTGTGTTGCGGACACTTGGGGGCAGGGCTCTCACCCAGAAAGCGCTACGATAGGGATACTACTGGCCAACGATGAAGGCAGATGCGATCGAGCTCGTCAGAAGATGTGACAAGTGCCAAAAGCATGCCAACATCCACCACCACCCTGTCGCCGACCTGAAGTATCTCACCAGCTCGTGGCCTTTCGCACAGTGGGGGATCAATGTACTCGGACCATTTCCACCAGCGATAGGGCAGAGGAGGTTCTTAGTGGTGGCAGTTGATTATTTTACCAAGTGGGTAGAAGCTGAACCTCTCACAACGATCACAACGCGGAATGTGCAGAACTTCTTCTAGAATAATATAGTGTGCCATTTCGGACTACACTGAGTATTGATCTCTGACAACGGTAAGCAATTCGAGGATATTAAATTCCAAAACTGGTACAAAGATATGAGAATACAACAAAATTTTACCTCGGTGGCGCACTCTCAAGCGAATGGCCAAGTGGAGGTCACAAACAGAGCCATTCTCCGCGGACTGAAGGCACGCCTAGACCGAGCTAAGGGGCTATGGGTAGACGAGCTACCTAGTGTACTATGGGCTTATCGGACCACGGTGAAGACCGCAACAGGCGAGACCCCCTTCAACCTCACGTATGGCACCGAAGTAGTCATCCCAGCTGAGATCGAGGTTCCCACGCTGCGTCTGGAAGTGTACGATGATGAAGCAAACGAAGACGAGCTACGCACCAACCTCGACCTACTTGATGAGGTACGGGACCTCGCATACATTAGGACCATGGCCTACCAGCAGAGAGTAGCTCGATACTATAACGCTAGGGTCAAAAAGCAGAACCTCCGCGTCGGAGACATGGTTCTTCGTAAAGTCATGGTGCCTGAGCCCGGTGTTGGTAAGCTCGGGCCGAATTAGGAAGGACCCTACCAAGTAAAGCGGGTGCTTGGGGAAGGAACGTACGAGCTCGAAACCCTAGAAGGGAAACAAGTACCTTGGGCATGGAATATTGTCAACTTAAGACAATATTACCTATAATTATCGAGCTGAGTGGACCACAAGTCACGCCTAGGGCCTAAGGGCTAAAAAGCCGAGCTAAGGACCTCGGCACCCAGTCACCTCTTCGGCATGGGCGAACTCCAGGAGAGTGGACAATTAAGTTGCTCCCTCAGCCTAAGGGCTAAGACGCCAAGCTAAGGACCTC